GTCAAGGTTAGGGATGTGACCGGTTTAAAAATAGTTCAATAAAACGAAGAGGCAGACGGAGCGGCCTTAGCATACAGAGCAGGCAGCTGCAAAGAAAGAGAGAGAGAGAGAGAGAGACGCCGCGTAATACCACTGGTATGGGTGGGGGCGATGGGGGGAGGAGCAGGGGGCATGAGATGAGAAACAGCGAGAAGAAATAAAACGGAGAAACAGCAAAAGGAAAGTCAAAGGAGGTGAATCGGGTGAAACAAACAGGCAGAGATGGAAGTGCGTCTTTTCGGGTTTGGCCCTGAAAATCGTTTTCTGAGGTGACCCCGTGTTCCTCGTAAAGACGGAGGTCGTCTCTTCAGGTCGATGGACCTTTTCTTTCTTGAGAGAAATTTGGCGTTCCGGAACTCGGAAACGTAACGCGTGTTTTGCCGTCGATGGTTTGGCAGCGATCACGGTCTGATCTCTTGCGCCTGGAATCGCAGCCAAGCATCACAAACCAAATCACGGCGCGCAGGTAAAGTGAGAACTCGGGCGTTGCGATGCGGTCAAGGAAATGCCCGTCGCCGTCTCCATGACTCATTATTTAACAGCAACGTGGAGGAAACATATTGACTTTTCAACATGTGGGTCGGCTGGCATTTCCCTTTATTTACAGGGGCGTCTTGCATAATCCGCTGTCATCAGTTCTGCTTTTCGGGAAAATAAAATTCCAACCTGCTGCCAAAGACTTTGCCTTCCGATGGAGCTGCATGCACCTGTTACAGTCATTGGGGTTACCAGCCAGCCCCATTTGGTTAAACATCTTCCTCAAGGGCATCTCCACCCCCTACAGCTGTAAACCTCCACTAACACGTCCAGCTCATTAATGACCCTACATGCATCTCAAAATTAGCTGATAATGAGGAAGAGGCAATATCTGCCTTGGTTAAGTGATCTGAATAAAGTAAGGAATTTATTACATTAAGTCATGGGCAGGCCTGTTAATAAACTGGTTAAGTTTTACGAACTGGTAAAATACAAGATGGCTGTTAATGAGGATTCCGGTGTGGGTCTGTATGCAGAACTGCATTGGAATACATGATGATTACCTTACAAAATACAAGCTGGATCTGGATCCGATATAAAGATTTTACACATGGAAGCTAATAAGCTAACGAAATCAGCGCTAAGAACCGGGAAAAAAATTCAGTACTTACAAATCAAGTATTGTGAAATCTGCAATAGAATAACTACCAAAAAAATAGCCGAAATGACTCTGCGTTACACTAATCAGTGTTTAAATGACGTTTTGCATTGTGTACCAGAGATCAATGGCAGTCGGCTTTGACAGAGACGCGCCCCCAGTTCACCCCTTGGGTCGGTGTAAAATGCCATCAGCGTCCTTGGTCGAATGCCCAGATCTTCAGCTAACGCTAAAGCTGCATTTTGCCATAGCATTATGCAGCTTCCTGTGCATGACTTTAGACACCCTTAGATTAAAGTTGTACAGATTCTGAATGAGCTCTCTAGCCCCCAAAGTTGACCTGTTTATTATGGTACTTATCCTCAACCACGTACCAGGTGCTGGAGCCCAGCAATGAATCTAAACCGCATTGTTCTTGTGATGTAACCAGCAGTAGCCAAGTGCTACAACGAATTAGCATCTCCCCAGCAGAGCAGTGTTTAGGCTGGGATTTATTTCTCATTCACTAACAGCATGGTTCCTTCAAATCCTGTTATTTCCAGTGTTGTATCTATTGTCCTACAATAATGTTCATCCCTTCTAAGTCCGAATAGATGATTTGCTGGGCAAAATAAGGGTGAGACAAGCCGGTATGTCAATCAAAGGAGAAGGTATGAGGAACCACAGTTGTGGCCAGTGGCTGAGCACAGATTGTAACCTGTAGACAAATTAAATAAGATGGAAAAACATTATGGGATCTAGTGCTGAAGCTAGTCGTACTTGTTGTTGTCCCGAACGGGTAATGTTAGTGTTCTTTACGTCCTCAAAGTGCCACGACCTTGTAGCCGTGGCTAACGCTAGCTACCAGTGTGCTCTGTCTGGTGCCGTCTCGCCGAGAGGCGCCGTGACCACGTCTCGCATGAGCCGAAGCAGGTCAGCAAAGCGCTGGCTTTTCCTGTCATCCTTAACAAGGGGGCGGTTTTGTCCGGAAAAATATCTGAGCCTTTCTATCGACCGAGAGCGAGTGCCAGATCCAGCCGGGCGGAGGCAGCGCGTCATCGGACCCGAGCTCACGGGCCTCCTCCGTTTTCCGTGCCGCACACCTCGGCTGGCTCGACATCGTAGCGGTGGTGTGCGTGCAGGACATGTGCGTGTTCGCAGAAACGCAGCCCCAGACGAGCAGCGCTGTGTCGTGTATAGTATAAGGTACTGCCTCCTCTTCAGTCTCTCTCTCTCCCTCCCTCCTCCTCCTCACTCTCTTTCACCACAGAACACCGTGGCCTCGCAGCAGCAGACATTGATTTAGAGGAAGGAGAGCCACTCTGTTTGATAACCCCCCCCCCCCCACCACCAACAACCAACCTCCATCCCTTTTTCAGCATCTCCATTTTTCATGTCCCTTTTTG